TGAATCTACTATTCTTAACCCGTCTTTGAATGACCAAAGGAAAGGGATAGCATTAAAAGCCGTCAAAGAATCAACGATGGATGATTCAAGCGACGATGATGAAGTCAAGCTTGTCATGAAGAAGTTTTGTAAACTTCTACGGAAGAAAGAAAAGGTTGAGGATGGCCCTGTGTGCTATGGATGTGGTGAAGCCGGGCACTTCAAGAACAAATGCCCGAAAAGCGGAAGGAATGCTCGGCACTTCAAAAGGCAAAGGGCATATATCTCTTGGGGTGGCGACTCCGGCGACGAGTCAACCGATCAAGACGAAGATGAAACTTCCAACCTCTGTCTCATCGCGCATGAAGACCAAACCGACGATGTACAAGAGGTATGTACCATTTCTTCCGACTCTTACACCTTTGAAGAAATGCAAGAAGCACTTCATGAACTTTATGATGAATTTGTTCGCGCCTCTAAAATCAACAAATCGTTAAAGAAACGCCTCTCCACTCTTGAAAATGATTTTGAAAATCTGGAAAAAGATAATGAGAAGTTAAAACAAGAGAATAAATTTTATGGCAAAAGAAGCGCCGACAAACCAGAAAGTTCCTCAAACGAATGTGAATCTTGCAAAGCTTTAGAGGAACAAGTCACAAAAATTGAGAGTACGGTCAAGAAATTTAATACTCCACACAAAGATCTTAATTTACTCCTTGACACCATGCATTTTTCTAAAGAAGGAATAGGTTTTAATAAAAACGAAGCTAAGGATAAAGAAAACATTGAGCAAACACCTAGACAACCTCCTAAGGCTCAACATAAGAAAACTAAAAATCAAGTAAATAGAAAACCTAGTCAATCTAAGAACACTAGACAAAAACCTAGGAATGAAAACGTTCATGGCAGACAACCTAAGAAAAATTATCAAAATGTTTTTGTGCATAAAAATATTTTTTCTCAAAATAGAAGAGACAATATGAGAACACCTAGAAATGATCCTTTTGAAAACATGCATAAACCATCCTTTTCTCAAAATAGGACAAACATGGTTAGGCCCCCTAGCTATTGCAATAGGGTAGGACATAAAGCTCCCGTGTGTTTCACCAGACATAGGCACTTCACCTACAATGAAACACACAACGTATTTAGTGCTAATGAAAAGAAATCCTTTGGAAAAGGATATTCAAATCATAAACAATCTCCACAAGACGATGCACAAAAGAAACCTTATTATTTCTTCTACTTTGACGAAAAGAAGAATGTCCACATTCCGTTACCGGAACCGACACAAATCACACCGAGATATCGGCACTCCGTTCAGGTAGATTGGAACCCGCCAACCACGAGACGATGGATTGGCCAAGGTAACTCCTAAACAATCATTTAATCGTGTATGTGTGTGTGCGCATATGGAAACATATTTTGGGTGTGTGTGTGGGCAATAAAGGTAAACTAACCCCCAAGGACCCATAGACTTACTTTGGGTACCAAAGTGCTGTTCTTTTTTGCAGGGACGGTCCAAAGTGAAGAATTCCGGAAGTCAGGGAGAACCAGCGATGGGTGGGTTATACCATCGCTGGGAGGGAAGCTTCTTGCTTTCAAAACCCCTCTTCCCATCGATGGGAACTTCCTCCCATCGATGGGTTATTGACTCTATTTTTTTAAAAAAATGGTTAACAGATTTCCAGAACACCTTTACCCATCGATGGGTAGTTTATCCCATCGCTGGGTGAGTGCTTGCTTTTGTTTCAGAACCTCCCAACCCATCGATGGGAAGTTCCTCCCATCGCTGGGTGCTTGACACAATTTTTTAAATTTTTTAACGGATTTTCAAAACTACCAAACCAGCGATGGGATGGTATTAACATCGCTGGGGAGGCTTTCCTCTTTTCTTCGTCAATTTCCAGAAGCCACCTTCCCATCGATGGGAAAATCCAAACATCGCTGGGAAGGCAGCCTTGGGTCCTTCCTCGCTTTCCAGTGGCGTGTTGGGAAACGAGGCTTGGATAACGCAGCGGAAAACAAAAATTTATTGTCCAAAACTCGATTCCACCCAAGAACAACTTACGTAAATTACTAACTATAGTAAGAAATTTACCTTAACGGTGAAAACGAAGAACGGAGGAACGGTCGGGGATGGTTTTGAGGAGATGAACGTAGCGCCAAACGTATGAAGCCTCCAACG